ATTTCCTGTAGGTTTAAATAAGCAGCCTGCAATCACACTCTATGAGGATTATCTCAAGATCTGTCTTAATTTGTGTGTGGGCTTGTTTGAACTTGTCGAGAACATCTGCTATTAAATCTACTATGGTTCTTTGAATGTTACTAATGTATTTTTTTTCTGCCGTATTTATACTATTTTGGGCTAGTTTCTTTTTAATCATTTAACGCAGTGGTTAGCACTGTCACCTCACAGCAAGAAGGTCACTGGTTTTAGCTCTGGCTGGACCACTTGGTGTTTCTGTGTGGAGTTTGAATGTTCTTCCGTCTTGGCGTGGGTTTCCTCTGGAGGCTCTGGTTTCCTTACAGTCCAAATACATGCAGGATAAGTGAATTGGATGAAGTAAATTGGCCATAGTGTATGAGTGTGTTTGTGAATTTGAGAGTATATGGGTGTTTTCCAGTACTGGGTTGCAGCTGGAAGGGTGTCCACTGCGTAAAACATATGCTGGAAAAGTTGGTGGTTCATTCCGCTGTGGCAACCCCTGATGGGTCTGGGACTAGGCTGAAGGAAAATGAATAAATAGTTTTACTGCCTTTTTAAACTTTACTGTTGTTTTTTTGACAGTGAAGCTGTTATGAAAGACAAATTAAAGGAACACTCCATTTCTTATAAAAATAGCCTCATTCAGCCTCCTAGAGGTAAACAGTTGAGTTTTACCATCTTTGAATACATTCAGCCAATCTCCCGATCCGATGGGAACACTTTTAGCTTAGCTTAGCATAAATCATTGAATTGGATTAGACCATTAGCATCTCAAAAAGTCACACTTTAAATAGTTAAATTCATTTATTAATTTTCCTTCGGCTTAGACCTTTTAATTATCAGGGGTCGCCACAGCAGAATGAACCGCCAACTTATCCAACTTGTGTTTTACACAGTGGATGCCCTTCCAGCTGCAACCTAGTACTGGGAAACACCTATACACACTCATACACTAGGTCCAATTTAGTTTACTTAATTCACCTGTACCGCATGTCTTTGGACTGAGGGGGAAACCGGAGCACCTGGAAGAAACCCAAACAATAACAGGGAGAATATGCAATCTCCACACAGAAATGCCAACTGACCCAGCCAGGACTCAAATCAGTGACCTTCTTGCTGTGTCACTGAGCCACCGTGTTGCCTAATATTAAATTATCAACCTTTTTTTTTTTTTTAGCAAGATGGTATGGTTTAATCTAATAAAATCATTCAATGAAATGACTTGGCTGTAAGTTATTGTGCTACATACATGAGCAATATCACATGAGTAGTAGTGCGATATGGCTGTATATCGGCACTGGTGGAAGGCGTGCGTTGCCTTAGTGCCCCCACCAGTGCCGATATACAGCCATATCGCACTGCTACGAGTGTGATATTGCATTTATACAACAGTTTGACGGCATAATTGTGTATATAAAAACTAAATCAAACATAGAGAGTCTCAAAAACCCTTTTGTATGAGGAACTACTTTCTTCCCCCTTGGATTCAAATCATAAGTTGACAGTTAAACACCTTTAAAACAGTTAAAAGCATCTTTTAAACTTTAGATCTGTAGTGTCTGCTTTTTGCTGGGTGTATGTGGGCAGAGTAATACACAAAGGGTAAAGAGGCTGTAGGAGTTCTGTTATTGCAGAGTATCGCGAGGCTATCAGTCAATCAGATTCGAGAACCAGACAGAACTGTTGTATAAAGTATAATAATGCACTATTGATAACAGACAAGGGACTTTTGCCTTGAAATTTAGCTAATGCTCTGTCTGGAGAGTTTTCAGTATCCTTCCTCAACACAGATCCTTGAAGTGAACTTTTGCCTGTAAGATGATTAGATTCACTATCTTGGACTTTAAACACAAACTCACAAAAGTGTGAGACACGAGGACAGAATGATGCATCTGATGCGCAATGACTGTCAGCTCTGAATCGTGGCTATAAGCCTCGGCTAATATTGGCAGGAATGACTGTACACTTCACAGTTCACACAGACTGCATTTCTGTCTCTTTAAGTTCAATTGTAAATTCTGTCATGGTAATATCTTAACAGATACAAACACTGAGTGTAGTAATCTCTGTGAATATTACAGGGAAAGAACTGCATAGTCTGTTGTCAACTGTGATGTTTGCAGCACTGCTCACACACTAGTCTAAACTGTGCAGCTTTCTGTTAAGGATTTGTGACCAACTTGAACGTGTTGCAGAATCTGTGAGGGGAAATTCCAGATCAAATGACTAAATTCTGCCTCACAGAGCATCTCTAAATATGATCACAATTTTGAAAGGAGTACAAAATTAAAATTCTACGAATGTGCCTTATTAAAAACACAAAAGGAGGATGTTAAGATATCAATATAATCTGTTGTGATCCTTAAATCTCTTGAAGATGGTTTGAATCCGATTTCACATCAGTACTATTGGTTTAATTGAATAACATTATACATTAGTCTGTTCCTTAATCAAAGGTAATTTGACTGCATTGTTGTTTTATTGGTCACTTATATTGTGAGATTTGTGCCATTAAATTACAATTGTTAACCAATCAAAATATCGTTTTCCAGAATAACTATAAATCACACTAGTTAGGTAGCCTACTTTTATATCACTTTTTTTGACCTGCACTTTCACTGTACAGGTAAGAGCTGTATACACATTCAGCGAAAAAACTCTTTTTGTTAGCCAATGTCATGGTTTGGATGATGGCATCATGCCTGTTCTCTTTAAAGTAAGCTTGTAAAGAAACTCACGGTTCCAGTACACAGGATAGCAGCTCTTTCCTTTGATGTCCACCTCATAGAGTCCTCCACGCACACACACTGCGTCCACGTTGACGCTGTCTGACCTGAACACCGAATCGTCCGCTGAGCATCCCGCATCCGCGCTGTCGGGTACCGGCTGAGCTGCCACCGCCGCCGACTGCCTCCGAACCGCCGGTTCCTCGCATCCTGAAGAAGACTCGAATAAATCCTCCGCTTCTTCCGTCGCATCCCTCCGTTTGACCTCTTCCGGATTAAGTTCGCAGTATTTACGATACGCCAGCTCGATTTTTAAGGAATCGTGGCCAACGAACGGTTTCCAGGTCCTCTTGTCCTCCTTGTAAAACCAGCGCACCTCCTCGGGTCCGAGTTCCGTGACAACTTCCCCGCGGTGGCGCGAGCTGTTGGAGCGGTTGCGCTTTTTCGTGGCGACGTTCCCGTCACTTTCGCTGTAATTCGGGTCGCCGGGGATGTCGAGATAATCAGTGTCCGGATCAGAGCCGAGATGGCTATGATAGCCAGCGAAACCCTCCTCCACCAGGCCTAGCATCAGCTGGCCTGGGGGAAGCGGCAGATGTCCGTCCAATGTTATGCCCGGCTGCACCGCGTCCATCCCGCCGTGAATCGCGTCGCCCGTGGGGTCGTTAAAGCAGGACGCGCAACCATCATCCATCCTTCCCCATTCACTACCGCTGACATTTTCTCTGCTTTCCGAGCAACTCAAAGACGATTTGTCCTGACAAGCGCTCATTACTGTCGCCGCTTTCTAGAAAACAGCAAACAGAGCGGTTTCAGCACCGGTCAGCTGATTATAATAACAACAAATCTAACGGTGTCAAAACCTCTCCTTCCCCCGGCGCCACTAAAGCGGCCAGCATCTGTCCGGAGGCGTCAATCACACACGCTGGACTTGGACTCCATGAATTACTAGCAGATATCACTCGGGCAGTCCTCAAGTTATAGAGCAGACACGCCAACCTGTTCACTTTTCATTTATATGCCGACTGTATTTCTCCCCGTGGAGCCCCTCTGCTCTAAAGCGACGTCCAATTCAAAAATGAATCTTTATGTTGAGTCGAGTCTTTTTTAACGGGTCCAAAAAATAGTTTGAACGAGTTGTCCTGAAATGAATCTGTCCGAACTCGATACCATACTAAACCATACTCGAATCTCAACAGTCGAGGAGGACCTTGGTTTAAAATACATTATAGTATGATTGTTTTTAATTGAAGTAAACATTTTGTCATGACTGTATAACGAACGTAGGACGTTGTTTGATGCAGATGCAATTTAATGCTAACAACTTGATGCAAATAACCCTTCATATTTTTAAACACAATAGCTACAAGCTTATTATTCTTATTATTTTTATGACAGTATTATTATTATTATTATTATTATTACTATTATGAAATTATTATTATTATTATTATTATTATTACAGTGTTATATTAATAATAATAATAATAATAATAATAATAATAACAACAATAATAATAATAATAATAATAATAATAATTTATTATTATTATTGTTATTATTATTACAGTATTATTATAATTATTAACAACTACAGTACTGTCATTATTATTATTAATATTATTATTACGATAATGACAGTATTATTATTACAGTATCTATCATTATTATTATCACTGTATTATTATTATTATTATTATTACAATCTGTCTAGGTTGCTTCTCTGTGGTTTCTTCCTGTGATAAATTTCATAAAACCACCTTGCATTTAGTAGCCACAATGTGGTATTAAATGCAGTTTGAACATGTTTGTGGAAGTTTTTGAAATTTGGCTTAAATGAATACTAAGAAATATATATATATATATATATATATATATATATATATATATATATATATATATATATATATATATATATATATATATATATAAAATAAAACAAATCATCGTTACATATCATTAACATTAACAGCAACAACAATAATAATAATAATAATAATAACATTAATAATAATTGTTAAAAACATTTAAAAATGTCCACATGGTGAAGCACATTGAAACTAAACCGTCTTTGATCCGGATCGTTAAAAGGATCTGTTCAAAAGAACCGATTCGCAGAAATGAATCATACTTCCCTCCGCTATCTTGCTGTAACGCTCCTCCCTGTGCGTGACGGTTTGTCATGTGCGGTTTTGTTCCTCTGAGCTTCCGTAGCGGCTGTCACAACCGGAAGTTTACGTTGGTGATTCCTGCAGGGTGACAGACAGACGCAAAGCAAGACAAGACTCAAAGCAACCGCGGTTTAATAAAAGAAAACAGTATTTATTCGCACCGTATTAATGTAACATTTTAAGCATGGCCGCGGAGTTTTTAGTGATGTTGTATGAATACTCTCCTCTCTTTTATATTGCTGTTATATCATTGTGTTTCATCATCACTGTGGCGGTTGTGTTGGGCTGGTAAGTCCATATTTTTAGCTTTAAATATTATGATATTAATCCAATGTGAGATAGTTTAGTTAAGTTTAGAGGGTTTATAGAGATGGACAATGTCTGGTTTCACTTTATTTTACAGTAGGTGTGCGTAATGTGTACTTATAGTGTACTCACCTGTGTTATTACACACTCTACCTACAGCTATTACACGCTTTGTGTAATGACTTTGATTAACATGTAGACGTGAAACAGGTCTTTAAAATAAAGGGTCTAAATAATATCTTATCAGGTTGAATCTCCAGTTAGTTCCCTCTTGAAAGCAGAAGTTGACATTACACCCTTAAAGGGATAGTTCACCCAAAAGTAACATTTACTCACTATGTACTCACCCTCAAGTGCTTATAAACCTTTTTGAGTTTCTTTAATTTGTTGAACACTAAAGAAGATATTATGAAGAAAGCTAAGAATGTGTAACCATTATAGGAAAAACAAATATTATAGTATACAACAGTTGCAGGTTTCCAGCATTCTTCAAATTATCTTCTTTTGTGTTCAACAGAAGAAAGAAACAAATTTTGAAAAAGTGAAATGTGAGTAAATGACGATGAATTTTAGTTTCTGCGTGAACTCTCCCTTTAATCTCTGTCTGACTAACTTTAGTGTCTCCTGTCAAGGTTTGGGTTTGATGTTCCAGTCATTTTGCGCAGTTCAGATGAGTCTGAATCTGTCATTCCTGTGCCTGAGAGGAAGATGGTGCAGGTGATCAATCCCTTCGCCTTGGAGGTCAACTCTACTTCTGCTTCAGTAACCGGTGAAAATCAGCAAATGTTGAAATGATCTAAAATAAGTGAAATGTTTCCGTGTTGACATGAACCAAGTAGTTTTTTTTTTCCAAAATTATGTTGTTGGTGTATATTTGTATTTTACAATACTGTAAAAATATCTATGTCAGTGATTTAAAACCATTTTATTTAAATTAAAGTCATACAAGTGCCATAAATGCAAAAAATGATAAATAAAAAATCTAAATGTTGTTTTTTTTTCTTTTTTTTCTATTGAGAGCCAACTTTTAGTTTTTTTTTTTTTATTTGGATTAGACCTATTTATTTTGGGTTGTGCAGTTTAATTAACAGAATTACTACTAAACATGTTGAAAACTCTAAATTCGCAATTTTTTTTTCCAATTCATAACACGTTTATTTCCCTTGATTAAAAGAATAAAACATATACTGTGTTATACTGTTATTCAAATACTGTTAACATATATGTTCTCTGTGATGTTTCAAGTTTTAACTGCAAATGTCACCTCCATAACGCTGAAATTGCTCCTGTCTTTCCTCAGAGGGTGTGAGTTTGCTGCCATGCTGTCTTGAAGACTGTGTCCTGAGCTGTTTCTGGGGCTGTGGAGTCCAGGCTCTTCAGACGGCCCTTCAGAGTCACCAGCTTGAGCTACGGTTCAACACTGCAGAACTGTTTCAAGAGGCTCTGGGGTCGAGTTGCCGTCACCACCAAACATTCAAGTATCCTTTTTACTTAGAATTAGGTCATTTTATGCAATATTAATGTACAAATTAAATGTGTTTATTCTGACCTTTCCTGAAAATGTATATAATGTATAGTCGGGGGGAAATAAGTATTGAACGTCATGTTTTTTTTTTTTTTCTCCTGGGAATAATATTTCTAAAGGAACTGTTGACATTGTATAAAACCAGATTTTGGTAAAAAACAAAAAATGAACAATACAAACAAAAAGAAAAAAACCTGAAAAAAAGTTATGGGTAATAACAACGGAGTAGCACAACTTAAAGACGCCTCTAATATGGAGAATGAAGTCACATGCATTGCTCAGGTGTGAGTTTTTCCACAGACCTTAACCGAGTGTAAAAATCTTAATGGTTCCGTGGCTCTCATCTATTAAATCACATCTTTATTTTGTGTTTTATATTAATAATAATAATAATAATTCCTTACATTTATATAGCGCTTTTCTGGGCACTCAAAGCGCTTTACACAATGGGGGGGATCTCCTCATCCACCACCAGTGTGCAGCATCCACCTGGATGACGCGACGGCAGCCATTTTGCGCCAGACCGCACACCACACACCAGCTGATTGGTGGAGAGGAGACAGAGTGATGATATGCCAATCATGATATGGGGAGGGTTAGGAGGCCATGATGGACAGAGGCCAGTGGGCAGATTTGGCCAGGATGCCGGGGTTAAACCCCTACTCTTTTTCGAAGGACATCCTGGGATTTTTAACGACCACAGAGAGTCACTCACTGAGCAGTATAGAGTCCCCGTCACTATACTGGGGCATTAGGACCCTCACAGACCGCAGGTTGGGCGCCCCCTGCTGGCCTCACTAACACCACTTCCGGCAGCAACCTAGCTTTCCCATGTGGTCTCCCATCCAGGTACTGACCGGGCGCAGCCCTGCTTAGCTTCAGTGGGCGACCATGTGAAAGTTGCAGAGAGCTAGCTGCCGGCTATTGGATTCAAGTCAGGTGATTGGCTGAGCCATTCTACAGCCTGATTTTCTTTCTCTGAAATCATTTGAGTTTCCTTGACTGTCCATTGTCTTGCTGTAATGTCCACCCTGGTTTCATCTTCAGCATGTTTATAATGTACATGTTGGACCGAAGCAATTAGTATTAATTTACAATGACAAACAGAGGTTTGCTGAAGAAATACTGAGATATTTCAGCTGCTGTCTCGGCTTTCACTGCCTTTCTACATCTTCCTTTCTTCATGTGTTCAATAATTCTTCCCTGCGTCATTTCTCTTTATTACACACAACATAATTTGTAATCTAATTAGTTTTATTTTCTTTGCAAATATAGATGTCATTAATTTTACCAACATCCGGTGAACATTTCAAGTAATCAGCACCTTTAGAAATATGTTTTCTGAGAAAACTGGTGACGTGCTCAATACTTATTTTCCCCAGTGTTTAGAATAAAAAAAGTGGTAATTTAAAATGTTACATTTTTGAATAATTAATTAAAAAAATTATTGCTGACAAATGAGTAAAACCTTGTGGTTATAAGAATAATATCAGAGCATAAAAATCAACACTGTGGATATATGCTCACATGATAAAACATGTGACGAATACAACATTAAAACTAACTATAATGGAACACAATTGCAGGTTTTGTCCTTAACATCATGTTAGTGTACAGAAAGAAGAAAGGGAAGAATATTTCACCCAGATGCCACCAGCTCTTGAAGTAACAGATTTTGGGCTGCTTCCTCGGGATCGATACCCATTGGTGGCTGTGCTGACACTAGCCCATCCGGAAACCAGGGATAACTACAACATTGTAAACAGCACATAATCTTTATCAGATTTGCCCAATATGAACTAAAGAAATGTGTTCTATTAACCATTTACTTGTTATTCTAGGCATCTAGTGTGACTGTGATCCACGTTCCTGATGACAAGTACAGGCTCTCCACCAGAATCTTGTTCCAGTATCTGCTCACAGCACACGGGACCTTGTACGATCTGAAGGTATAAATATATAAAACTCACACTCCTATCTTTTTTTTAATGCTCTTCTGGGAGCTGTGGCTTTTGTAGGCTTACTTTGATCACACTTAACCTTCCTCACCTTGTGTCCCTAAATCAAAATGGAAGTGTTTAATAATTATGTGCCTTTAATTAAATGTCTAGAGCCAGACTGTGTGCACAAAAATATTCTCTTTTCTTTTCGCAGCCTCTATTCATGTCAGCAGACAACAGCAACTTATCTGGAAGCTCTGAACCTTCTCGCACTCAAGGGGCGGAGCTACAGCCAGAAAGCTCAGGTGAAAAGGGGGAGGAGTCTGATTCAGAAGGGGAGTGGCCTGATATTCAAGGGCGGGACTGTGTGGTGTGTCAGAATGCATCAATAAACAGAGTGCTTTTGCCATGCAGACATGCATGTGTATGTGACGGCTGTGTGTGCCGCTTCCAGCACTGTCCGATCTGCCGTGCGTTTGTCTTTGAATCATTTGCTCTGGCTAACCGACCTGCTCATAATGATGATGAAGATGAAGAGGATTTTACCGATTGAAATTGTGTGAAGATGCAGTATTAAAAGCCTTAGCTTGGAAGCATAAACATGAAGAAGAAACATTGTAGCATCTCTATATTGTAAAGAGATGCAGGCAGCTGACCTGAAAATATGGACACCTCTAGCGTTATTTCAATTTTAGACTTCTTTGACCTGAGTGTGCTTGTGAAATGTGCTTAAGATAGAGATTTTAAGCTGTATAGTTTATTTATTTATTTTTAATATATATATGGTAAACTAACAAATATATTTCAGTGTGTAATCGTGCATTTTTTCTCAGCAAATGAGAACAACATGAGGTTTGTTTTATTATTTATTTCTTAAATGATGTGGAAAGAAGCAGGCCAGGCAAACACAGTTTATACAACTGATCACACAGAATGCTAAAGAGCCGAATGATTTTACAGATCCACATACTTGGCCAACAGGTAAAGCTTTGTATCAAACTGGGGGGGCTAAACAATGCTTTAACTGAATAACTGAAGTCGCTTGATGGTAGTGATGGAAACTGAACATCAGAATGCTTTCAAAATGTTCTCAAAAAAAACATTGCAGTAACTTTAGAAAAAAGTTTTATGTCCATGGACAGTATATAGATTACTGACCAGAAACCCCTCACATTTATACTCTGCACAAAATAATTGTGTGTATGGTTTTATACAGGCTTGTAGTCGAGTTTGGACTCCAGCTTCTTCGAGTCAGCCACCTTCCTCACAGCTTTCATGAAATCCTCCTGGGTCACATATTCATGGTCCGCACGGATGGCAAACATACCTGTTAGATTAAATAGATAGCAGTCAAACACCTTTATCAGACCCTTTACAAGCACTATATTATACTAGGGGTTGAACGGTTTTAGATTTTTGGGGGTCGACTTTTATGTTATCGTAGTCAAGTTGACTAGTCGCTGGTGACAATCAATAAAACACAATGCACATGTTTTGCAACATACTTCAATTTGCAGAAAATATATATTTTAGAGCTGCACTAGTAATCGAAGATCGTGATCTCGATTCGACCCCCTAGACCAGTGGTTCTCAAACTTTTTTCACCAAGTACCACCTTAGAAAAAAGTTGTCTCTCCAAGTACCACCTTACGACGCTATTTTTTAACCAGTATTAAAAAATAGCGACGTAGGCCTAATTAAGCAGCTACAGGTGTGCACATTGTTAAAAACGATGCAGATTAATTTCTATTATTAAGAATATGTATTATTGTCAGTCACTTTAAACATTTTAAATAGTCTGAACATTAACTGTGCTTGCAGGTAAAAAAAAAAAAAACGTTTTAGTTAAAATGTGCTTTTAAAAAATTAAAAAATGACACTGTTCTTAAAAAGTAAAAAGAAAACTGCTGTACTTAAATCTAAAGTATTCATAGTAGCCTATTCATCAAAAGTTGGAAATGTTGCTTGGATCTCATAAATATAGGCTAAATGTCATATTCATACACTTTCAGACAAATCTTGAAATATCTGTTAAATGTACATATGACAGGGTTCATACAGGCACAGCCTAATGAAAATCAATTCCAGCACCTATTTTTTTCAAGACTGACATGCTATGTATTGAAGACCTGAAATGTATTGTCAGCAACCCATAAAACATTACATAGGAATAGATACAAATAAAAACCATTAATAATAATAATAATATTTATTAACCATATAATAATAATAGAATAAACCTGCACTAAATGCTTGTAAAATCTTTTTTGTACTCAAGTAAAAATACTATTACACTGCTAAAATAACACAAATTTTAGTAAATAATACTAATATTAGGTAAAAGTACAAAGTACTCTTTTAATAAGTACTAGTTAAAAAAAAATCTGATTTTCATTATGAAATCACTTTTTTTTAAGTGTAAACCGGATTGAATGGTTTAATTGCTTAAATCCCAAAGCTACATGTATAGGAACTTGCACTAACAAAGGAAGTGTGACCGATTTTTTCTTTCATGACAATTAATCTTTTTCAATAGCACTGGTAAAACTACCACATAATCTTTAAGGCCATCAAGACAGTTTTTGCCCATTTTTAAACAATATTTTCAAGCTTTGAAAGGTTAAATTAAAGTATATGGTAAAAAGATTTAAATTTAGCCTTTTATTTGCATATTTTTCTTTACATTATGGCAAATTTATTTTCTTAAATAGCTGTACATCACATGGAGATTTTATTTTACACCTGATCTTAATCTAAAATACAAACTTAAAAAAAATACAAGTACACTGTCAGTTAAAAAAATAAAACAAATGACTTCATTTTACTTGAGGTATTTGAAATATGACAACAGTACATTTATCAAAGCAGTGCTTTAAGAGCCTTATTGTTCATTTTGATAAATAAACAATAAGTAACAACGGATTGCTTTGACCTGTAATGCCTTAAGACAGATCAGAATACAGCTAAATGTATAAATCACACAAATACCTCATCCAGAAACATTTCCAGCATAATTCTTTTGTCGTAAAAAATTTTTAAAAAAATACCACCTTTGCTAAAAGTAAGTTTCACTTCACAACACAGCCAAACAAGAAGACCATTAGCATTGTAATCGATTATGCATCAATCTATTTCTAAATACTTGATAACTTTGAATACTTTTGACTAAATTTAGTCAAGGAGCAAAGATAAATAATGTCTACTTTAATAGTGGAAAGATCGCGATTGTATTCAATCTGAGCACGCAGGCGATCATGAGAGCACTTGCAGTTCATTTGAAAAAAAGCCTATTTAAGAGCTCGCATGTCTGTTTTAGCGATTTGCGTACATGAATGTGCTCTCGTGATAAAATAAAGCACTCGCCGCATTTGCAGAAATGAGTTATTGCGCAATACCTCCATTCCCGCGCCGCCATTCAGACTGTATAGAGGAGTGACAGGTCAGAGGCGAGTCGACTCGCTGTCGTAAGGCGAAACGTGTATGAAGATAATAAAATAGGCAGGAAATATGTCCGCGGTTTAATAACTATGCTAGACATTTCTATAGTGAAAACATCCGAGAAGCATTATTCCAACAAAACATTTGTTTTTAAGTTGTTTTCTCTGTCTCTGCAACACAGAAAGCCTTTGTCCCGCCCTTACGTTTCACGCAAAACTAGGTCGACTGTGATTGGCTACTTTTCATGTCAGTCAAATTACGCTTCAGAATCAATTCTTAAGCTGCTGAATATCAGTTTCCGAAGTTTATGACACAATGCACTAAAATAAACACTCTAAGCACAGAGCTGTTATCGTATGCTTCACTAAACAGAAAATGCTGATCACATCGATGTTATAGTACGCATCAAAGGATTAAAAGTGTTAATTATTTATTTCATTATTTGGCGATTCCTCCGCGTACCACTAGGAGGAAGCCCGCGTACCACTAGTGGTACGCGTACCACAGTTTGAGAACCACTGCCTTAGACGATCTTAATCCTGCATTTCTACGATTCTTCCAATCATATTTTCAAGTTCAGGAAAGAAGAGTCTTTTCATTGTTTCACACGCGTTGCTCAGCGACATGGACTCCACCAAATAATTTTAAAAGAGTCACATACTGTATTTTTAAAGTATAATTCACCTAAAAATATCATTTTTGTCTTCATATATGATGTATATGCAGCCGGAAAATCACACATGACGTGAGCTGCTATATGTGCGGGCGCGCGCCCTACTTATTGATAGACGCGGGCGCGTCTACTTTAGTCAACAGAATCTGCATATGCTGTGAGTAACAGGTTATAAAGTTGTAAATAATATTCAGTTGGTAGCACAGAGTTATCGTTTGAGAGTCGCACGCGAAGTATGAACAGCATTTAGCAGTAAAAATGAAACCGAAAGCGTGCATATCATTTAAATAATTCTTTCATAGCGAACACACAGTTGTGCATGAAAATAAATGTTTACAGTATCGGTATAAATAATCTAGCCCATATAATGTTGATTTTACCAGTGAATTAAATGGTCTAATAATGTTGTCAATGACAGATTGCAAGCATAGGCCAATATCTCAAACATAATTCAACATCAGAATTATTATAAGTAGAATATAATTATGTATAGAAACAATAAGACCAACACATAATAATAATATTGTTGTTTTACCATATGTTTGAGAAAAAACAATAATCTCATATTAAGCTTTATTTTATATCTACAGAATCTTGAGAATCATGATCTTTATTTTAAGCAAAAAAAAAAAAAAAAGTTAAAATTTGCGATTCTCATTTTAGCCAAAATCGTGCAGCTCTAAAATACAACCCATGCTGCTTGACAGCTCATAACACGATGCATAAGCAATGCAATGTTACCAAGCACTAGAGCCAGACAGAATCTGTGGACATTGTTTGCTATTTTTGCAGAGAATTTTGTTAAAAATATAATATTTTATTTACTTTTATTTGTTGTTTACAATGCAAATCTAATTAGATTCACTTATTTGGTAAACAAAGCAAGTCTCATAAATATATCTACTAAAAGACAGAAGGGATTACTTTACAATCTGTATTGCAAACAAATCAAATCAACATTTTAATATTACTATGTTATTATTTTACATTAATTACTGAAATTAATTATTTTAAATTTACACACATTTACTCAGATCGGCTGAAAATCAGCAGATTCCTTGTGGGCCTACCAATCAATAATTTTAGTGCAAAACAAATGCACTGTCAACTTTTTTATTTAGTTTGTAATGCAACATTAACACCCAGCCTAGTTTTACTGCTAAATAAATGCAGCCAACAAATTGATCACTGCAAATACTACTAAGAATGTGACAATAACAGACTTTTTAGAGCAGAAGTAATGCATACAGCATCGGCACACAGATTCATGTAAAGTTATTTCATCAATAACAGCCTTATTACACATCATGGAGCTTTGAGTTTGATAAAAGCGCAATATAAATAAAAAGTATTATTATTAGTGCTCAGACACATTTTACCACTAGAATGATGCTCAAAATCCTGCTCAAGTCAGGCATTTTTCACAGTCACTGTCTCATCTTGGTTAACAGACATATCCTCGATCCACATCTTCACCGCGTTCATTAGGTATGATATTACACTTGCTATTAAGTTTGTCACATCTCAGGCAGTTGCGCATTTCACGGTTCAAACTACGTCGCAGTCTCTATAGGTCTCTTATTACCTTTTATTTCATAGAATTAAAGATGCATATCTGTAAATTTGTACACTGTAAATACTTAATTTACAATGTGGAAGTAAGCTCTTTTCTGTCAACGTGTT